TTATCATTTTGGTTGCTTTTTTTTGCAGTGTTATTGTTATTGTTGTTGTATATTATTGTTTTGGCGTATATGTTAAAAGGCTCACATCATGGAAAATACAACTTTTTAAAATAAAAGAATCTGATATAGTATGTAAAGTATGTGTTTAAACTTACACATACTAAAACGTACTTAAAACATATTATTTACTCCCCTAGTCAATACAGTCCATTGATGGAAGCTAAGCTGCAAAAACGTCTCGTTTCGCATTCACTGTTTTTGTGATGTCACGAAAACCAAAACATTTACATACTGAGCCTACAACAGTTTAGCCTCGTCTGTTCATGGTGAAGTTATAAGGAGTGTTTCAGGAAGGATTGCTTTTTGAATGAGGGCAGCAGGCAGGAAAGAGATTTACATACATAAGTAACAAAAACTGGCTGTTTAATTTTGATAGAAAAATCTAATGTTGAGAGATTGTGAAATGTGTATAGTAAAAAGTCACCTCCACTTTTTTGAGGGTCAAAAATCAATTATTATATAGGCTAGCTATTAAAATTTTTTTAATTAAAATATTAAGAAGAAGCACTCCTGCCATTGTTTTTAATGTACTTTTCTTTAATGTACTATGATTGTTTGTTATCTTACATCCTTCCTTTATCTTCTTAATTATCATCATATTTGTTTTATGTTTTAATATTGACATATAAAACATGGGATTCATTTTAGTAAGTGTATGTAGGTGTACTTTATTTTATTTACATAGTTTTATACTTGAATTGCTGTATGTAAGCTTTAGCCACCTGGTGTGTTGACTAAATTTGCACCCCTGTTAAAAAGACAATAGTAATACATTCATAAGAGTGCACAACAGTGACACAACGGGGATGACAGGACATGGAAAAAATCATCACATTTCAGCAGTTTCTCATATTTTGCCAAATACATTTGATGAGTCATGTACATACCGTATCCATTCAATCTATAGCTTTATTTTTCACAGCAATTAATTTTTTTATTTCAAAATAAATTATTCACTGCTGCCTCATCTCTTTGGCCTCTTTCTTTCTTTTCTAACTCCTTTTTAAATGCATAATGAACTGTATCACAAAGTAAAACATTTGGCATTTCAGTGGAAGAGAGAAGATGGCCATTCATATTAATGAGCGCCAAGACAGCTAAAAAGCCCAGTGTTGTTCCATTCTTTGGATGTGTAATTGCCCGCAGTCTATTTTAAGGGTCTTGTCTTCATCTCTAGCTTCAGTATTCAGAGCCCAATCCAGGATAACAATAGGCTCAATGACCAGCAGTGAAACTGCAGTTAATGCACACAGTAAGTCATTTGTTGCCAAGTCATGGTTTACTCAGCATTACTGCTTGGACTTCCAGCATACTGACATGCAAATGTAATAATCTGAAGTGACATATCGTCGCTGTCAGAACAAAATTTCTCCAAAAAAGTAATTTTACAGGAGAAATTATGTAAAAAGTGAAGAAGGACAATAAACATAAGGTTTTGTCTCGACAACAAACATGTACTAGTAACTTTTTGCAACCACAGAGTTAAATAATGGATGGTGATCAGCAGACGGTCCTGTAGATGTCCTGTGTCCTGCAGAGGGTCACCATACAGTGCTGACAATTAGATGATGAAGGGATTTGGGGATGCTAGTGTGGTTCAGTGGGGAAGGGTGGTGGGTGTTCACATATGCTGTGCTCTTCAGTGGAGAGAATGGAGTTGTTAAGATGCAAATGGCAATCCCCTCCCCTCTGTGACTGGAGCTACTGATTAAACGGGCTCTTTTATGATTAACCTGTTCTAAAAGATCAGATCATGTGGAACTGCTTTACTTATACTCTTCCAAGGAAGCTACGACAGCCCAGCACTGTGTCAGTCTTAATTATTCATTTGGAACACATTTATGCGGAATGTAGCAGCCACCCTACCTCTGATAGCTATTATATGAACAGGGTCCACTGTGAATTCTGTAATGCCTCTTCATGCTGACAGAAGTGCACGTAACAGCAGCCTCCACTGCCTCCTATGACCCTGATCATCGCATAGATTATGTATGAGCTGATCGCCTCTGTAGCACGACACCTCCAAGTTGCGCCTACCTGCTGTTTCTCAGACCAAGTAGGGAGACTAAACAATCTCTACATGGAGCTGTAAGCTAAGTCCAAAACTGTGCTGCCCTATTCTTCACGTAGTGTCTTCTTGAGACCCTGCTATTTTGTAATTCTGTCCAAAAACATTTACATGTTATTTAAGTGTTTTCTAAATGAACCCTAGCAGGCAGAGACTACAATTCATTGTTGTATGTGACAGAATGTGACTTCTGTTGTACAGTTGTACAGGGTATGAAATCATTTACTCTAATCATAAATTCAGTTCCTTAATGTTCTAAATAGTGCTGCCAATTTTGCACTGTACAGATACATTTTATTAAGAATTCTTTTACCACAGAATATAGATAAATTAAAGCACAAGATGGGCAATAAATCTTACACTACTTTTCTTCTTAACTCAAAAATACATAAAGCTGCATTACATAAGTTTTGGGGATTTGGAGATCTCTCTGGGGGAAACGTGTAATTGCATGCTGGTTGTGCTTCAGACTTTCATGAACGGATGAATGTGAGGTTTGTGAGCACGTTAAAAGATATTGAAGGAGAACTCAGTTAAAATTTGGTGGAGGATGTGCCTTGAATGTCAGAAAATGTAGGTGAATGATCCACTTTTATCATCATACCTTCATCCCAGACGACACAGGCATATCGCCATTTATGCGATGCTAACAGTTGCATTGTTTAGACATCTATGGTAGCTCATTCCTCAACAGCAGCCTGATGTTTATGAGCTCCTGGATATGAAGTTTATGCAATGCTCACAAATCCATTGTTAAGGCATCTATGGCAGCTTGTTTGCATTAGCACGGCATCATGGAGACCTTGTTATTTGATGTTTAAGCGCAAATGACGTCCATCTGTTTTCCAGAAAACATTCCCCAGTAGCAACCTGATGTTAGTATAAGGTTGATTTTGCATTTGGGACCTAAACATTGAGGCTCACCTCCTTTTTGAGCTGGTGCATCTGATGTTAATGTGAAGGTGTGGTCTGAAAAACTTTAAATTATTATTACTCTTTCAATTTCAACAAAATAACTTACATAGTGCTGTAATCACCCAAGATATGTTTGGAGTTTGAGGTTTGCTTCTTTAGTTTTCCCTGGAGCTACAAGGCTAACAAAAAAGTGGAAGCTTTTACTTTACCAATTAACACTCTGCAAACTGCATGACTAATCATCACATAATTACTCCAAACTGCATTGATCTCAGTAAATTCAAATAGACTTTTGTGGGTTTCTGACACCATAAAAAACACAAATTTAACAAAGATGTCTTGCATAGCTAACAAGTACTCATCAGTTGTATAATCTAGATCCCTTTAATAACTGTACACCATTTAGTGAAAGCTATGTGATGCTGCATTTGATTTTGGATGGTGAGCTTGTGACAGAGCAGAATGCAAGGGTAGAATATTTTAGGCAAATTTTAGGCTAAACCAGCTGCCACACCCTGTTATCAAGATCGGTTTTCATCTGTAAAGTATATGACTCTTCTGTGAATACTTTAAATATTTTCATTTTAAATAAATGCTTTCTTCATCTAATTTGTGTGGCAGGGTGAACATGTTATACTTGACGGATCCTGTCAAGGATGCAGAAAGGGTTAAATGATGTCACTTCCTCTTCATCATGTCACTTAAACTGTGTCCAAAACTGTGCCCTATATAGTGCACTATTTTGGGGTTCCACCTTTTTGTAGTGATGTCCAAAAATATAGTGCAGAAGAACCAGTGCACTCAAACAATCCCACAATGCACCGCAATAAGTAGTGTACAACCGATGTACCCTAGCAGACGGTTGATACCCGTAAAGCTCTGTTTTGTTTGTAAGTAAAGAGCAAACATGTATAAAAGTAATGCCCGAAATCTTTTATTACCATCACAAATTCTGTTCCCTAGCGTCTTACATAATAGTCCAGAATTTCAGACACACTACTAATGTGATGCTACATTATTATTTATGGCTAAAAATAGTTGAGGTGACAGGGTACAATTTAAAAGTTAAAAGTACAATTTAACAGTTAGTTTATTATATTTTTCTTTCAATTATTTCTTTTTATATTAAAAGGATATACTGTGGAAACAGAAACATGGCAAAGATTTTATTTTCAAGTGACTTTTACTTCAATGACTGTCACGAACAGGTCCACATTCCTAAAAATATATATATACATTAAAATAAATGTTCATAATTAAAATGTAATGTTTTTCATATGATGTGCCAGGGATGAACTTTGAATTAATTTAATTTAAGCTTTAAAAAAAAGCCTAGCAGATTGTCTCATTGAATGTTCCGTAGAGAGGCGGATATTTTGGCGTTAGCGTTAGCTACTTAGCTCGAATAAAAATGGGGTAAAAGTAGTTTGTGTAATGTTGAAAGGTTAAAACTAGCACAGCGTTGTTGAACTCATAGCTGGAGCTGCTGTCCTCAGGTGGCTAAACGGTCTCCCAGGTAACGGCTTCGCTTCGCTTTCTGAAAGGGGTTCAGCAGAGACAGCCCACAGGAGGGAGGGTGGAGAGACACCGAGCGAGCGAGAGAGAGAGAGAGAAAGAGAGAGAGAGAGAGAGAGAAAGGGAGAGAGAGAGAACAGGGCAGAGGAAGGAAAGCGCGGAGGTAGCTCTGTGAGGCGGCTGTGTCCTCCAGCCGTGGACGCTTCTTCCCTCTTTTTCCCCGCCATGGCCGGCTGGAGAGGGCACGCATCGTCTCTCACAAAGGAGGCTCAGAGATGGCCTGGAGGGAGAGACGCATCAGGCTTTCTCGGGCAAGCGGCAGCCTGTGCTACAAGGCTGCTTAAGAGCTGGCCCTTCTCCTCCTCCTCCTCACCGTGCGCGTGAGCGTGTGTGTGTGTGCTTGCGTGCGCGTGTGTGTGCGTCTGTGTGTGTGTGTGTGTGTGTGAGTGTGTGGACGCGGGTGCGCGCTCGCATAGAGGCTCATCGCATCACCCCTCATCACAACAGCAAGGTAAGTAAGCAGGCCTGCAATTTTCTATCTATTTGGACTCCCTTTATTCACCCACTGCTCCCCTTTCCCTTTTTGGCTTCTGTGCTTTCCAGACAAGGGGGTGAAGAGAGAGGATAGAAGGGAAAACAGGCTGAGCTTCATTGATGAGGAGAGGAATAATAGCTCATCGCATAGAGAGGGAGAGAGCAGAGGAGGAGAGAAAGGGCGAGAGAGAACAGAATGCACCAAGCTCAGGTGGTGATGAAAGAGGGAGGGAAAGAGAAGGGCTAAATGAGGGAACCGCAGCGGCTGTGGAAGTGCTTTCACCTTCCCCTCACCCACCACCACCACCACACCTCCCCCCTCTCTGTCTCCCCCTCTCTCCCTCTTATTCACTCTCTCTCTCACCTCCTTTTCTCTCCTTCTGTGGTGCCTGATAGCAGCCACCCTATGGAGAGGCTCCTGCATTCGGAGATCAAACTGAAATGCTCCTCTCCTCCGCCTTCCTCGTGTAAGCTGGTAAATGGCAGCCGTAGGTCCGTGGGGGGAGGCTGGAAGCTGCCCGAGAACTGGGCCAGTTGTCGCTGTCATGCTGCGTTTTTGTCATCGGCTGTAGGCAGAGCGGAGCGCTCAGGTGAACGGATCTGGTCAGGGTAGCAGCAGGCACACATGCTTGAGAAACGTTCCCGACGTCTGGCTGAGTCAGTGTAAGAAGTACAGGGTGTAAGAAGTGCTGTGTTCCTAACACTGCAGTACCAAATGTATCAGCAGTGTATAACCAAACAACCAATCTAAAGTGGGTGCGCCAATTCATGATTTCAGAATCATAGTTCAGTCTCATAAATCAGTCACCGTTAATAAGCCTCATGATAATCAGTTCAGAAACATCACAATCGGTAATTGTACTTAGTGATTGTACTTAGTAATGCTTCTGATTTGATTACACTGTAATTGTAGTTAGCATTCCATTGATATCAACTAAAGAACATATAAACTTCAATTCCAAAAAAGTTGGGGTAGTAAATCCACTTTGACCTGTATTTAAATGAAAACAGTACAATGACAAGATGTTTAATGTTTTACTTTTTTAACTTAATTCTGAAATTGAGACTGGGACCATTGTGAAATGTTCACAAAACTTTTTAAAAAGGTGATGCAATCATTCTTGGGTAAAAGGAGCGTCCAGATAAGGCCTAATACTTTATGAGCAAGGACGGTTCAATGAAATTTCCAGCAGTTTAAAAACAACGTTCCTTAACCAATAATTGCATGGGTTTTCAGTATTTCACCTTCTACAGGCATAAAATGATCAAAATATATAGAGAAATCTCTGTGTGTCAATGGCAGAGCTGAAAACCACAACTGAATGACTGTGACCTTTGATCCCTCAGATGGCACCACATTAAAAACAGGCATGCTCCTGTGGTGGACATTACTTCATGGGCTCGGAAATATTTTGGGAGAACAGTCAATAAAGACTGTCAGTTGCTGCATCCACAAATTCAAAATAATGGACATTGTGTTCTCCAAGCCAAAAACGAAAACCACCCTGATTGTTACCAGTGTAAAGTTCAAAAGTCAGGTTCTGTTGTGGGATAAGAGTGTATTAGTGCTCAAGTCATGCATAACTTGCATATCTTCAAAGGCCCCTTTAACACTCAAAGATATATACACATTTTGCAGCAATATATACTACCTTATGTACGCATGCACAGCTGATTTAAGCTGGATCTGTTGGGGTCTTTAGTCTCAAAATGATTATTAAAGGTTTGTTAATATGAAAAGTGATGTAACACAGTAGTAAGCATACTCCTGTCTCAACTTTTGAAACTTTTGCAGTGCATTTTCAAAGAAAAAAATTACAAATGACTGCTTTCTGTTTTTATTAGGTTTTCATTACTGTCTCAGCTTTTTTGGAATTGACACTTGATAACGACTTGATCAGGTTCTGAAAGTTTTAACAAGGAGCTTAAGTTAACCTACACTGTCAGAAAAAGGGGCTCTGTCCAGGCAAATGTTAGCTCCCCAAGGTACAAACAACATAACATCAAAACAGAATGCAATGAGTCAATGCAACTTAAAAACACATATCTTCAACGGAACATGATACAATTATGTTCCCTAACACAAGGTACTGAAGATTTACCCTTAAGGGTGTCACTCCAGTGACAGCATTTGTACCCTGAAAAGTACACTTTTTTCTGAGAGTGTATTCCTGGATTAGAGTAAAACTGTACCTCCTAACTTGTGTCACTGTTAGAAAAGAGAAAAACAAACATAGTTGCTTCATCCCACATCTCCAGTGTCAGCATGAGCGCACAGATTCCGTCTGATCAAACGGACAAGGTGGACGTGCCTAGAGAGATGCGCTTAGTAGACGTGTGAAATGAATATTTGTGGGACTAGGCCACGTCTCAGAAAGAGCTTCAGATATGCGTGCGCCTGTCAGGTTGTCAAAGTCGCAAGTTCCAACAAAGCTGTGAACATCACAATGCAGGAATGTATTTTTAGATGCCTGTGATCAGGCGGCTGATATAGTTTTGCTTTTGGTCTGATAGAAGATCTAAACATCCTTAAATAAATCATTAAAAATCATTCTGTCAGGCATGTTTGCCGTTTATAACTACTGTTTACTTTTCAGTATGTCACCAGGAGTTGCAATGTAGGCCATCCTGACTTGAATTTGATTGACCTGATTTGATTACTGCCATCTGGACTAGCAGTTAACTCTGTTTTTCTTGAGTGTATTAACATGGGTGACTTGGCCTTCTTGTGCTAGAGTTGTATGTTTCTTTCACAGTCTTTGGTTCCAAAGCACATGCTGGACTCCAATATGGTAAACATGTGACGTTGACGGACTCGCTCATCTTCACTGCAGATTCGATTTCAAAGGGTTAGGACTAATCAAGACACTTATCTATCATTAGAAAGAAGGGTTGAGTGAATACTGCTAAACCTCTTAACCCTCCAACGTGGCCTTCATGTCCCGAAAGGCCTTAATTAACAGCCAGTAACACTGGGGCTGAGTTTCCTCAGGTTCTTCGCTGACCCGTTCTTCATGAGAGAGCCAGGGGAGAGTTTGAAGCGATAGACAGGGAAAAAAGGACTGGCAGTGAAGGATGAGAAGTTGAGGTGAGGCCTACAGATGAGGGCTAGGCATGAGCGCGCATGACTCAAGCCTTCCACACACATTAAGGTTTTTGTCAGTGCTGATCTCTCGCTGGCCCCCAGAGCGTTTGTGGTCATGCTTCATGGTGCACTTCATCAGCAGAGTGTGACTGCTTCCACCATGGCACTGGACCTAGCTTAGCAGGAACGGCCAAAAGACAACAGGAACCGCCATCCTTCACTGGAGAAAGGGTTCCTTCATTTGTTTGTTGTCCCTGCACAGCCACGTAATTGTCCGGTAGATACACATTAAACATCGCTTTGGATGCAATTGCCCTACTTCATTGAAAATCCATTTTGGGCCAGAACTAGGCTTAATCTGTGTCTGTAAAACAAGTCCCTAAGAGAGACGAATGCATTAAGAGATTAAGGTGGCTAACAGCTACCAAGAACGATTACAGTTTTAGATTTAAGCCTTAAAAGCTTTCATGTTTACATGCTAACTATTTTTAACCATTTATACATACCATTTCTAACTAAAATTGATCTACACCCGTCCATGATAGTGTAAAATGGTTATTTTATCAGCAGTTATGAAAGAGTAACACATTTAGTTGTAATATTGTCACTTATTTGAAAAAATAGATGTCTAGAGGTCGTTGGGTTGTTAGCAACCCAAGCACAAGGCATCGTTTTGATCACAGACGTCTTGTGTGGGTGGTGGGTGCACTATGGAGTTAGAGCCCACCTCTGCCCCGCAAGCACAAAAACCTGAAAGCTATCTTATGAATTTATACATATGTTTGTAGCAACTGTGGATGAAACTCAAATCAAATTCTGTATGGCTACAAATTCTGTATGGCTACATTTATCTGTAGCTTATCCTCTTATTAGTTTACTTACATCTACTTTCTTCTTTTTTTTTTGCTTGATAGTTTTGAATATTGAAAACAAATTTCTCCACTGCAATAGTATTCAGCCAGAAACAGTATGAGTCTTCTCAGAACAAATTACTTCTAGCATAACCGCAGAAATAGTTATTGTCTTCAGAAGTTTTTTTTTTGGTTCCACTTTATTTGGATAGCCTCCTATAGATTTTCTAGATATGTTTAAATTATAAAGAAACTATGTAGTGAAACTGTCTGGCTTGGGTTAGTACCAGGTTGGTGTTAGGTTTTGAGATGACGTTAAGGTCAGGGTTAGCATGGCCAAGTTCAGGGTGAGGGCAAAATTAAAGTGAATTTCTTAGATATTTATTTCGATGTAAGTTAAATGCAAGGTAAGCATGTACAACGCATCTACAGTGGGCTAGCAACCCCCATCAAAGTTCTATCATCTGTGCAGCAGGACCTATGCTGTTAGCAGTTTCCTCCACAATGCCTGGCTAAACTTGAAAGTGGGTGGTTAGAAAACTGGATTTTGAAAAGTAGATGGGCATCCCACTGTCACCAGTGGAAACTACAGCTAAGGACCCGAGGTATGCATTCAAGGATTCAAATAAGTGCAAGGATGGTAGCTTTTACCCCTTCCTTGAGGCTAATAAAACCTAATGAAAGGTTAGCTTTTTGGCTTCATGCTTTCTCATTGCCTGCCGAGTTCATGACAGGTCAGTCATGAACTCAGTGGGCACTGAAGAGGCAGTTGTTGAAAAAGTCTTGCTGTTTTGTCCCATGAGGAGGCAGACTGAAGACAAGAGATGAACAAATGAATCCTGCCCTTTAGCAGGGAAGCATGCTACAGTAGATCTTGGGTGGGAGGCTCATTCTATCAATAAATTACACCCTGTGAGCCGGTTTGGCCTGTCTTATGGGGCACATCCTGATGATATGTCTTTTTCCACCGAGAGGAAAGAACTGCGTAAGGGCCAGATGGAAACCACAGAGGATATCCAGCTAAGTGGTGAAGGACTGAGA